ACTCCTGAAAAACTTTAATTCCGCGTAGCCCCATCACGCTCTCGCTGGATCCGCTCCTCTGCCATCAACGAGAGGAACGTCTGTACTTCCTCAACAGACAACAAAACAGCCACTTTTTGGTTGTTAAAAAAGGTGCGCTTGTTCAAAACGGTTGCGTTCGATCCTTCGCTGGCTGTGCTGATTTAAATCTAGCAGTTCTTTTGTGTCGCTAGTTCAGTGACGCAAGTAGTGACGATTCTCTCCGGCCAATCCGTGATCAGCAGAGTTTACACTTTAATGGCAAGCGGCAGCATGTTTAATACTGTCCCTTTAAGAGCTGCACGCATCTAATAAACAAACATGCATCCGTTTTCTCTCAACGGTTTACTTTAATTTTAGACATAAACCAACTGAGTCTATATGTAAACCTTGTGTGTTTTGACTATTAACGCAAAAGATAACTTGGTTCAGTAATCAGGCGCTGTTTGACAGGCTTTTTAACGCGCATGCTTCGGGTGTACGCACTTAGAAAAAGTGCACGTCAGAACAGCACGCGAATTAAACATTTAACCAGTAACCGTAACTAATACACTTTAAAGCAGATGCAAATAATGTACTTTTGTGACTGCGAGTAAGTGCAGTGCAAGTAACTGTACCGCTGAGTTAACACTGATGTGAATGTATGTCGCATTGTACAGTATATTAAGATGGAGGCTCCAGAACTGTAACTGATAGAATGTACACTGTAGCACGATACTACGATATTTCTTCAAAAGCAGATGGTGGATACATTTTTATAATCCATGATCAAAAATCGTCATAATGAACACCCCTAGTTTAGATGTTTGTTACAAGAGATTTTATTTTATTTTTTCTACATGAATAGAGGTCAACCGATTGATCGGCTGATTTTTGGCTTTTTTTAAAATCTGCATCGGCCGATTGTGCTGCAAATTAGGCTGATTTATAGGCAGGCGCATCTGCGGGCAGCTAAGCGTTGTTGCGGAACACCGGAGAATCTCTCTCTGGCTGCGTGAGAGATGGAGCAACTCACACTCTGCAGCCGTTTGTTCAGACACCGCTTCGGCTAATGATGGCAGGGCAAAATAGACGTTTCAGAAGCGTAATTACGTTTTACCCTACTAGAATTGATGCAGGAAAGTTATCATATTAATAAGTGCAACAAGTCATTTGCATGTGAAAGTAGAAACATGCAATTCAGACGAAACTTCTGGCCTGGTTATAACGTGCACGTTAAATTTCCTCATGAAATGTGTGTGTGTGTGTAGGTCCGACGTGGCCAGTGAACTTTTATTTTTGTCATCACTTGGCCATTTGACTTATAGCAGTGTCCAGTGTTTCACATACATTGAGTTATTTGTGGTGGCCGTCACAGTATCAAAACAAACCACCACAAATAGATTTTCCAAAAGGCTTATACTTCGTTGAATAAATTGAGCACTGCACGTTTCAAAATTAAAATGCAGCGCTGGTGTTTTTATATGTATGTATCTTTGAAAAGAACCGACCGTCTTCAGAAAAGCTAAGGTGTCACTTTCATTTCGTCTTTCATAGGGATGCACCGAACATTTTTAACATTCTAGCAGACACTATACCAGGGGTGCCCAAACTCGGTCCTGGAGGGCCAATGTCCAGCAGAGTTTAGCTCCCAACTTGCCTCAACACCTGCCAGGAAGTTTCTAGTATGCCTAAAAAAAGCTTGATTAGCTGGTTCAGGTATGTCTAATTGGGGCTGGAGCTAAACTCTGCAGGACACCGGCCCTCCAGGACCGAATTTGGGCACCCCTGCACTATACCAACAAAGCACAATTTAACTTAAAATTAATTATAATTTATATATAAGTTAGTAATTTTTGGCTTTTTTTTTTTTAATTTAATTAAAAAAAAATTTTTTACTGTACAATTAAAAGCAGCCTTGCTGAGAAGAGACTTCTTTTAAAACATTAGAAAATATTACAGATTCTAATTTGAACACCGTGTGAATGTTATAATAAATGTATTAAAACAGAGCTGTTGTAATGATGATCATTGTCTTTTTATTTTATTTTACAGAACAACAGAAATTACAATACTAACATTTATGAATGTTGATAAAAGTTCTTGCTTTTTCTCAACTTTTATTTTGGCGGAAATGTGCAGGAAGACCTCCATGCTTATTTTTGTTGACGACAGATTTATAATTGCGTTTCATTACGTATACGTCGTACGTATCGCATTGTCACATGCCTTGTAAAAATTCATAAAATGTGACTGAGCGACTAAGCAACTGACGACTGTATCGGCGACTTTGAACCCTGTCTAACGAGCAGATAGCACCGCGAGCTCGTGCAGCGCTGTCAGAATACATGCAATGCGCGAGTGTATTAGAAAACAAACCACTAGTAAATAAACTGCAGAATGTTAAGGCCATTTCACGATTTCAATCATCGTACAGTAACCAGCAACAATCACCCCTTCCTCTTCTCATTGAAGACATGCGATGCAGTCCTAAACAGTCTCTCGCTGTCGGTGCTTGTAATTTTTGCGTCTTTCTCCGACAGTTTAAATGCTTCCATTCTGCTGACATGTGTGCTGCATAATAAAGAGTGTGCGCCTCTCACTCTGCGCTGGTTGCTATTTGATCGCGTCATATCATTGTTCGGTACAATTTATTCGGACCATTTCAAAGACGTAAACAATAACAAAGGCGTTGGAACGCTACTGCGCATGTCTGGTCCTGAAGCATTTCCGGTAGCGCCAGGACCGAATTTGGGCACCCCTGCACTATACCAACAAAGCACAATTTAACTTAAAATTAATTATAATTTATATATAAGTTAGTAATTTTTGGCTTTTTTTTTTTTATTTAATTAAAAAAAATTTTTTTACTGTACAATTAAAAGCAGCCTTGCTGAGAAGAGACTTCTTTTAAAACATTAGAAAATATTACAGATTCTAATTTGAACACCGTGTGAATGTTATAATAAATGTATTAAAACAGAGCTGTTGTAATGATGATCATTGTCTTTTTATTTTATTTTACAGAACAACAGAAATTACAATACTAACATTTATGAATGTTGATAAAAGTTCTTGCTTTTTCTCAACTTTTATTTTGGCGGAAATGTGCAGGAAGACCTCCATGCTTATTTTTGTTGACGACAGATTTATAATTGCGTTTCATTACGTATACGTCGTACGTATCGCATTGTCACATGCCTTGTAAAAATTCATAAAATGTGACTGAGCGACTAAGCAACTGACGACTGTATCGGCGACTTTGAACCCTGTCTAACGAGCAGATAGCACCGCGAGCTCGTGCAGCGCTGTCAGAATACATGCAATGCGCGAGTGTATTAGAAAACAAACCACTAGTAAATAAACTGCAGAATGTTAAGGCCATTTCACGATTTCAATCATCGTACAGTAACCAGCAACAATCACCCCTTCCTCTTCTCATTGAAGACATGCGATGCAGTCCTAAACAGTCTCTCGCTGTCGGTGCTTGTAATTTTTGCGTCTTTCTCCGACAGTTTAAATGCTTCCATTCTGCTGACATGTGTGCTGCATAATAAAGAGTGTGCGCCTCTCACTCTGCGCTGGTTGCTATTTGATCGCGTCATATCATTGTTCGGTACAATTTATTCGGACCATTTCAAAGACGTAAACAATAACAAAGGCGTTGGAACGCTACTGCGCATGTCTGGTCCTGAAGCATTTCCGGTAGCGCCATTTTTAAATCTCAGATCTGTCAAAACAATCATGTACTTTTTAAGTGTAGCGAAAAACGCAACAGTTGCGGTATTACATTTTTTTTTTTAATAAACAGTTATTGGAATTACCCTTCAAATATGACTGAGGCGCAAACTTACAAAGACATTTAAAAATAGTCTTCCGGACGGCTCTGATTGATGCTGCGTGCGTGTACACGAGAGATGGCGGTAAATGCATATCGCAGTCTAGATGCAATTAACTCCTTAGCGGAAAGCTTGGGATCATTTGTTCGTACAATGGATGGCATCAGTCTTGTGTTTGGTTAAACTGAAGCAAGACAAACAGTCACTTACGTACTTATCAAGGTTTGTCGCCAAGATGTCCGGGGAGGTTTTTAATGGACATTTCACTTGCATTGATGGGTCATGTATATCTACGCAAATATTCATTTTTATATTTATTTGTACAGCGCGTTTCACATTACATATCGTTTCACTGCAGCTTTACAGAACATGCATGTAAATTACAACGCTAAATGAATGCTAGGATACTAATCAATAAATGCCATTATTACTGATTTCATCCGTTTTAAAATGTGTGCTTAGTTTGGACAAGATTGTTGCTGTGGAACAGTGTGAGAAAGCATTTGAATGCTCTATCTGAGCCATCATGTGGTCACAAATAAACAAGCTGAATGCAATTCAGTGCTGGCAACCGTGTTTTGCATAAACCTGTATTAGTTTTTTTTTAAAAAGATAAAAGTATAGCCTACATGCAGATTAATAAACGCACACACACACTACATACAGTATATATGTGGGTATGTATGCTTTTTTTAATGCACATTTACTGTAAACGCTCATACACATACAAAAGTACTGGTCAAAAGTGTGGGCGCACTTACTATTTTTAATGTTTTTGAAAGAATTCTCCTATGCTCATGAAGCCTGCATTTAATTGATCAAAAGAGTATTTTTCTAAGTTAACCTGTCAGTTTATCAGCATGTTTGTCCAATGACTGCTGCTTGACGCAGACACAAACACAGATGAGCTGATAAAGAACCGGTTTATTTACTGAATGATTTCAGTTAACCCTCACAGACCCAGTATATCGCCAAGAATACTAAATGCTGTTTGTATTGCTATGGAATTGGAATAGCATTTCTCAATTTTGCATTTAAAATTAAGATTTCAGTTTAGTTACAAGTTAACCACAGTTAATTTCAGACTAGAAGTCCTAATTGTAATGGTGTAGAATTTATTCATGAATATAGCCTTTGCTGATATGGCAATAGAAAATAGCGGCAATGCTTTTAATAGAGGTCATTGCAGGTGTTGAAATATGCAATATCTTAACTGCAAATTCAGTGAGGTGTAGGAATATTGCATGATCATGAGACTTTAGAGTAGACTAAAAAAAAAACATTCTGTCTGGAAGAACTTTTTAAATTGAATGTCTGACATTGATGTCTTATGTCCTGTAGCTGACCTTATGGAGCTTGATATGGCCATGGAGCAGGATCGTAAAGCCGCTGTGAGTCACTGGCAGCAGCAGTCCTACCTGGATTCAGGTATTCACTCTGGGGCCACCACCACAGCGCCGTCTCTGTCAGGCAAAGGCAACCCTGAGGAGGAGGATCTGGACAACCAGGTGCTCTTTGAGTGGGAGCAGGGCTTCAACCAGCCCTTCACACCTGAGCCGGTGGCAGGTATGTGACAGTATTTGCTTCCAGCACATGGTGTTCGCATTAGGAAAAAATGGAAGCCCCTCTAACTGGATATTTTCAGTCTTGCCTTTTTTCTGGCTGCTTCCTATCTGACTAATCACAAACTTCCTCTCTTAGACCTGGATGGGCAGTATGCCATGACCCGTGCACAGCGTGTCCGTGCTGCCATGTTTCCTGAGACTCTCGATGAGGGCTTGCAGATTACTTCTACCCAGTTTGACTCCTCCCACCCCACCAATGTGCAGCGGCTGGCCGAGCCTTCCCAAATGCTCAAACATGCCGTTGTCAATCTCATTAACTACCAGGATGATGCTGAACTGGCCACCAGAGCAATCCCTGAGCTCACCAAACTTCTCAACGATGAGGACCAGGTTAGAAACGTCCCGTACTTCATGCTTGTTAAGCCATCAAAATTGCGATTTCCTTTGACAAGACCTGCTTCAGGAAACATTTATTTGCAGCTGAAGCTAAAAATGGAAGATCTTTTAGCAAAAAGAGCATTCATTAAAATTATTTTTAGCCATATAGTGACTTAAAGTTTGAAGCAATGACAGTTCTGTCTGAATCACCTTAAGTTTTGCTTTTGGATGTTGTCATTCGCATAAGGTAGTGGTTTCCTGTTGGCAGATCTGAGTTTGGTAGAGAAAATCACTAGTTTGAAGTGACCCTTGAAAGATTTCTGCATCTGACAAGCAAATTAGTCCCTTCACTCTAGATTTTCTCTGCAGTTGCACTGCTAAATGACAAGTAGCCAAGCAAGTTCAAGTCTCACTTCCCCCTTATTCACTCTTCCTGTCCAGGTGGTGGTGAACAAAGCCGCAGTGATGGTGCACCAGCTCTCCAAGAAAGAGGCCTCTCGCCATGCCATCATGCGCTAGATTTTCTCTGCAGTTGCACTGCTAAATGACAAGTAGCCAAGCAAGTTCAAGTCTCACTTCCCCCTTATCATTCACTCTTCCTGTCCAGGTGGTGGTGAACAAAGCCGCAGTGATGGTGCACCAGCTCTCCAAGAAAGAGGCCTCTCGCCATGCCATCATGCGCTCTCCCCAGATGGTGTCGGCAATCGTGAGGACCATGCAGAACACCAATGATGTAGAGACTGCCCGTTGTACTGCCGGCACCTTACACAACCTGTCCCATCACAGAGAGGGCCTCCTCGCTATCTTTAAGTCAGGAGGAATTCCTGCCCTTGTCAAGATGCTCGGGTAAGGGCACCAAAGCAGGAAATCTGGTGCACGGATGCTTTAGTCTTGAATTACTAAATTTGAACATGATGCTGAAGGTTTAATCCTTCCATGTGCTGTCCTACTTGTACCAGTTCTCCACTAAATGGATATTACATGATCGGTTTTCCAGGTCCCCCGTTGATAGTGTGCTGTTCTATGCCATCACCACCCTTCACAACCTCCTGCTTCATCAGGAAGGTGCTAAAATGGCTGTCCGTCTAGCTGGAGGACTTCAGAAGATGGTGGCCCTGCTCAACAAAACGAATGTCAAATTCCTTGCCATCACCACAGACTGCTTACAGATCCTGGCATACGGCAACCAGGAGAGCAAGGTACATGCATTGCATGAATTGGTCTTGCTAACTGGGGGGAAGAATGTACTAGATGTACTCCTGTTTATTTGTCTCAACTCTTGCCACCACAGTTGATCATCCTGGCCAGTGGAGGACCTCAAGCTCTGGTCAACATCATGAGAACATACACCTATGAGAAACTGCTCTGGACCACAAGTCGTGTGCTGAAGGTGTTGTCTGTCTGCTCCAGCAGCAAACCCGCCATTGTTGAAGCTGGTACGTTCATTTCCGCATGTGCCAATTAAGTATGCGTTCGTGTATGTTATGTCAGGGTCTCATCTTATGCTTCTACTGTATGTGCGTTTTAGGTGGTATGCAAGCTCTTGGTCTTCACTTGACAGATCCCAGTCAGCGTCTGGTTCAAAACTGCCTGTGGACTCTCAGAAACTTGTCAGATGCTGCCACCAAGCAGGTAAATTCATGCAAACCATTAACAGTTCGGTTTGATGTTATGAATATTTGAACAACTTTTATTAAAGTAACATTTTGCCTTGTAGGAAGGGATGGAAGGACTTCTTGGCACTCTGGTTCAGCTTCTTGCTTCAGATGACATCAATGTGGTCACATGTGCCGCTGGCATACTCTCCAATCTCACGTGTAACAACTACAAGAACAAGATGATGGTTTGCCAAGTGGGTGGAATCGAGGCCCTGGTCCGTACTGTTCTCAGAGCTGGTGACAGAGAGGACATCACCGAACCTGCTGTTTGTGCGCTACGCCATCTAACATCCAGACACCAAGATGCTGAGATGGCCCAGAATGCAGTGCGTCTTCACTACGGCCTGCCTGTAGTGGTCAAACTGCTGCACCCACCCTCACACTGGCCATTAATTAAGGTATGTGGCCAGTTTTTCTGTACATGATCTTTTGAAATATTGCACATTTTAACAAGTCTTCCCACATCCTTCTAGGCCACAGTCGGGCTGATCCGTAATCTAGCGCTATGCCCAGCCAATCACGCACCACTCCGAGAGCAGGGTGCGATTCCCCGGTTGGTCCAATTGCTGGTGAGGGCACACCAGGACACCCAAAGGCGCACTTCAATGGGCGGAACACAGCAACAGTTTGTGGTGAGTTAAGTTTGGATTTTGTAGGCATTTTCTTTACTTGAGGAAAATTAAGTGACACTAATTGTCTGATTGTAATATTCAGGAGGGAGTTCGTATGGAGGAGATTGTGGAAGGCTGCACTGGAGCACTTCACATCCTGGCCAGAGACGTACACAACAGAATCGTCATCAGGGGGCTCAACACTATCCCCTTATTTGTACAAGTATGACTAACTTGCTGATTGCCTATGTTTGCACATTTTACATGCAAGACAGCTGCCGTTGTGATCTCGTAAGCCCTGTGAGCTTCTTAAAGTGTTTATTTTGCTCTGTAGCTGCTGTATTCTCCTATTGAGAACATCCAGCGGGTAGCAGCAGGAGTTTTGTGTGAGCTGGCTCAAGATAAGGAGGCAGCAGAGGCCATTGAGGCAGAAGGAGCCACGGCTCCTCTCACAGAGCTGCTGCACTCCAGGAACGAGGGAGTGGGTGAGTGGCTGCCCCCTATTGACAGATACCATACAGCATTAAAAAAAAATCTCTTAATACCAGTGGACAAATCTTTCCAATTTCTTTCTTTGGTGTGGATTGTGTTACCAGCTACAGGGTGTAAGAGGTCTAGGACACAGAAGCTTTCTATTAATCTTGACTCTCTCTTGTGTACTTATCTCTATATAGCCACATACGCTGCAGCAGTTCTGTTCCGCATGTCTGAGGATAAGCCTCAGGACTACAAGAAACGTCTTTCTGTGGAACTTACCAGCTCTCTTTTCAGAACGGAGCCCATGGCCTGGAACGAGGTACAAACATTCATCTGCTCTCGGATGAAGACCATTAATGCTGTATGAATCCACTTTTATAAACCAAAAATGTTTTTGTTTTAGACTGGTGACCTAGGCCTTGATATTGGTGCTCAGGGAGAGCCTCTTGGATACAGACCAGATGGTAAGACATTTTTATGTATTTTATGTTTATTAAATGTTTGCTTAAAGTTTTAAACATTTGAATTTAATTTTTTTTATATTTTTTTAAATGTTTATCTTTTTTGCTCTTGTTTATTTGAACTAAATTTATCTAACTATCAGAAGTTAGTTTCATTTTAATCGCACTTTAATAACATGCATTTTATATATATATATATATATATATATATATATATATATATATATATATATATAGAAGACCATTAATGCTGTATGAATCCACTTTTATAAACCAAAAATGTTTTTTTGTTTTAGACTGGTGACCTAGGCCTTGATATTGGTGCTCAGGGAGAGCCTCTTGGATACAGACCAGATGGTAAGACATTTTTATGTATTTTATGTTTATTAAATGTTTGCTTAAAGTTTTAAACATTTGAATTTAAATTTTTTTTATATTTTTTTAAATGTTTGTTTACATAATGCATGTATGTGTTTGTATTGTGTATACTTATGTGTGTATATAAATACACACATACAGCATATATTTTGAAGATATTTACATTTGTATATATTTATATTCATAATTTATATCGTATATAAATATATTTAATATATAAACGTAAAATTTTTCTTATACGTGTGTGTGTATTTATATATACACATAATAAATATACACAGAACACACTATGTAAACAAACTTTTATTTTGGATGTGTATTTATTTCTCTCTATCTCTATCTCTATCTCTAGCTCTATCTCTATCTCTATCTCTATCTCTATCTCTATCTCTAT